AAGGCAAGGATGGAAGAAATGCTGGAAAGATAAAGTCAGACGGACGTTCCCCTGAACAGACATGACTTTATGACAGCACAGAAACTCAGCATCAAGTCCTCAAGAATTGTTGAGTTTTCTGGGCTCTTTAAAATCACATTTCCCCAACACTCTGCTGCTCCCAGCCCAACCCTTACTGTACACATAACAAGAACAGCTGACCTTTGGCCAAACTGCTAGGTGGGCTGGTTTATGACCTATGTTTAACCGAGGGGCTGACATCTTTATGCACCTTCCCTGTAGTTACAGAAATGGTGTGATGATAAATTGACAATGAGAGGACTAATCAAGCTGAAATAGATGCAAATCTGCTGCACTTCCAACCTCCGTGCGTCACTTTTTTCTGACTTATGTGCAACACTTGTGCTGGTGGTTACTCTGGTAATCACCAGCACAAGCATTTTGTGATCCTCATCCATATCACTGGCTTGTTTTGATTGTCACACAGCATGAGAGGTTGACATAGTTGTCATTTTGTTGACAATAAAGCTCCCGAGTGAAATTAAACAGCCTTATGCTTACATGGATACACTTATGCACTCACTGCAGTAAAAAGACCATCAGATATTTAAAGTCTTATTGAACAATAGAAAATTATGAGCAAAATAAATGCGTTGCAAACTCTAATGATAATCATAACATATGTTTAATATCTGTTTTTTTCATCTTGGCTCATGTAAATCATGAAGTTTAGCCATGTAAATATTGTCATCGGCCAGAAGGATGGCACGCTCTCTGTTCGCTCAGCCAGAGTCGTGCACGCATTCTGCTGCGTCTTCTCTTTTTCTTTTTTTGCAGAACAAACCATAGAGCGTGCACACACATGCATGCACACACAAGCATGCACGCACACACACACGCACAGCTGTGGCCAAACGCTTGTTCTGTTTCTGCTCTATTGTTCGACATCTTGTAAATTTCCACCAGGGGGATGATGGGAAATAATCCGACAGGAATTTTTGTTGTACTCTTGCAAATATTGACCCTGCAGTATCTCCAGTCTCATAATCTATGATTAAACCTCTGAGTTTTGACACACCGTCTTCAGGCTTAAGTTTTCTCCAAGTCTTTTCAAAGTCTTCCAGTCTGTGGCGCCCATAAATGCATAAATTACAGTTTGCCGCCTCATCACATTCACTGAATCATTCACAAATCTGAGCAGGTTACCTGGGGATCTGATCATTCCTGACACCAAAGGTGCTCCCGCGGGAGCCCCCTGCCCTCTGCTAGCAGGTGCAGTTTATCCCAATTACCCTTGCCACACCTGTACCCCTTATGTCTTTCTCCTCCTCGCACACACACACCCTCCTAATGTACACCGCAGGGATGGCAGGTTCAGGTGTGGCACTCAAGTAAAGCAGGGCTGTTGCCGCAGGCGATCTAAGCTCCACCAACTGTGTCTATCCGCTGCTTAAACCTCTTCAGATTCGGGCAGAGCAGATGGGGTCAAAGCAGGATTCTCCTCAGAACACCGCTTATGAATTTATAATGTGTATAAAAATAAAAACGATGAGTGCATTTTTATTTTATGGAAGCAAACTTTGCTCTGCTGTACTTAGTCGTATTTAGATACTAACACAGCCACGGCACAGCACCCACTCCCACTGTGTGCACCAGCGTTCGGGGTGGGATTCTGCTTCGTGATTATGGATTGTCCGGTAAACGGATGGACACTCGCATCTTCAGCTCAAACCCCATCGTGGTTTGGCTTGTTTTCAAAGCAGTATCACATATTTACGTTTCGTATTTAAAACTAAATCTTGCTACCTGCAATTCATAACAAAACCAGCATCAGTTGCAGTACTAATGACTGCACAAGCCAGCAAGTCTCTAATGCCAAATAATCCTTGCTTCCACGGCTTAACACATGATATGGTCGCAATCAACAGCCTGGAATACTGTCCCAAATAAAAATGTGATGCATGACAGGCCTAATTCCCAGAATAAGTAGTTCAGCTTCAGAAACTAGCAGCCTGAGCAGGGATTCCCACATGGATTCAGGTCAAGACCAACACCAAACAGCAGCTCGCATACATTTCTGGACAGCAATCCGTTACCTTTTTTTGGAGGGGACAAAAATACACAGAAACGCTCCTGTCGAAACAGCTCTGTGTCTAATAAGTGTAAGTCATGTGTTGTATGCTAGCCTGCCCTTAAATCCAAACATGAAATAGTCCCAAAAAATAAATACATAAAAAAAGAGTTCATGGACATGACTTCTCCTTTTTTCCCCTCAAAGCCAGTCAGCATGACTTTGACATGTATTTCAATAGGAAGCATGTTTTGTATCTACAGCTGTCATCCTTGTCTAGTATCATCCGGCTTATTTAGAGGGTCCTGTTTCCCTGGAAACTAAGAAAGAAACCTAAAACCTAACCCATTAGCTAATCCTAATCCAGTAATTTTAGTACTTCTAAAGCCTAAACCTCAGGAGTAGTTTTTCTTGTCTAAGCATAACTCCGTTCCTTTAATTCCAAAACCCAACAATGGACTTCCTAAGGATGATTAATAAAGTACTTCAAATAACAATTGAAAATCTGTCCATATTTGTGCAGATTAAACAAATATGTAGGACTGCGTTCTTCCATTTGTGCAACATCTCTAAAATTAGAAATATCCTGTCTCAGAGTGACGCTGAAAAACTAGTTCATGCATTTATTACTTCCAGGCTGGATGACTGCAATTCATTATTATCAGGATGTCCTAAAAACCCCCGAAAAACCCTCAGTTAATCCAAAATGCTGCAGCAAGAGTCCTGACAGGGACTAGAAAGAGAGAGCAGATTTCTCCTGTTTTGGCTTCCCTTCATTGGCTTCCTGTTAAATCCAGAATTCAAAATCCTGCTCCTCACATACAAGGTCTTAAATAATCAGGCCCCATCTCATCTTAATGACCTTGTAGTACCATATCACCCCATTAGAGCACTTTGCTCTCACTCTGCAGGCCTACTTGTTGTTCCTAGAGTATTTAAAAGTAGAATGGGAGGCAGAGCCTTCAGTTTTCAGGCCCCTCTTCTGTGGAACCAGCTTCCAGTTTGGATTCAGGAGACAGACACTATCTCTACTTTCAAGATTAGGCTTCAAACTTTCCTTTTTGCTAAAGCATATAGTTAGGGCTGGACCAGGTGACCCTGAATCCTCCCTTACTTATGCTGCAATAGGTGTAGGCTGCTGGGGGACTCCCATGATGCACTGGGTGTTTCTTCTTCACTCACTATGTGCTTATACACCTCTCAGGTTATTATTAATCTCTGGCTCTCTTCCACAGCATGTCTTTTGTCCCATCTCTCTCCCATCCCCACCAAGCAGTCGTGGCAGATGGCCGCCCGTCCCTGAGCCTGGCTCTGCTGGAGGTTTCTTCTTGTTAAAAGGGATTTTTTCCTTCCCACAGTCACCAAGTGTTAACTCATAGGGAGTTGTCTGATTGTGGGTTTTTCTCTGCATGTATTATTGTAGGGTCTTTAACTTACAATATAAAGCACCTTGAGGTGACTGTTGTTGTGATTTGGCGCTGTGCAAATATAACTTAATTGAATTATGGGATTCTAGTTGTGCTGTCTGGTGTGAGCAGAGGGGGCTCTCTCACCAAACCCCCCAAATATGCACTTTATTACTCTTTAAAAGAGTGAAAACATTCATTTTGCGTACATGGACACAAATCAGTACATATAAGACCATCATACAAAATTTCATGTGCAGGAACACAAAACAATAGACTGAATGCAATGACAGTTTCACGAACTGCTATATGACTCCGCTGTTTATGCACAGTATGCCGTGCAGGTTGGAAGCCTGGGTTTGTTTTGGAGAACACTGAGCCCAGCTCCTGGTTCCCATTCAGAGGACATCACTCTAAAGTCATGTCACAGTTTAGTCAGGGAGCGAAGGGAGAATGAGACACGGTCAGATAAACAGCACAGAGCAGGATCCATATGATCTCAGCAGCGGCAGCAGACTGGGGAGCAGCAGGCAGCAGAGGAACCGACTGCGACCCAAAGATGTGGCACGGATGGTGGGGGATTACGTCATCGAAAAAATTAGGACGCCTCATCCCAGCGAACCCCCTTACATCCATTACATTAAAACCTTACCGATCAGCACACCATCTCCATCATTTTATTCACATTTAAAAAAAAAAAGAAAGAAAAAAAAAGAAGAAGAAATAAATACGAATGCACGGGCTGCGTCTCAGCAGCTCGTCCACGCAGGCCCCCCTCCCGTGACATTTCAGGAATGTGACATGTACACAAACGCTGCTTCACCAACAATTATTTAGCAACGATTGACCAAAAACACACAACCAGCTCTGTGGTCGCTGAATGCACTTACACACCGTCCAAGCTACACGTTAAAATAAATTCACGGAGCCCGTCAAACACACGGGACACAGGAACCGTGTAATAAGCGCTCACTGGTGTCTATCGCACGATAAGAGGTGTGTGCCATATTTAAAGCCACAACATTAAATGACGCCGCGCTGGTTCCAGAGAGCTCTAACTGCTCATTAAAGGGATTATTGTGCGCCGTCCGGTGACTGGCAGATAAACGAGCCGTTTATCTTAACACATGAAACGGATCCGGGGAGGCTGCTAACAAAGTTTCATTGATTAAATAAGCCTTTAAATGCGCACTAATGTTGCGCACATTGGATCAGCTTGTAAGCTGCGAGATATCGAATGAGCTAAGAAACAGCTAGCAAGCTACACAACCGCTGGCTATTAAGGCTGTGGGAGAAAATGTGTATGTGTTGGGGCGTTTTATGAGATTCCACTGAACAAACACAAGCGCAGTTGCAAAACGTGCCTTTTGAAACAGCGCTCTCCTGCTGTTATTTCGTAATTCTGGCTATTTAGTGTGTGCGGGAGCAACTTGGATAAAAGTGACAGCGCTAAGCTAGCTAGCTAACCCGCGTCAGCTGGCTCCAAGAGGGGAAAAAAAGCTGTGAGTGAGCGTCTTTCTTACCGTCATAAACTGCTCCAGGGGCGTCCAGTTTTTAAGGAATACAATTTTTGTTATGTGAGGAAATGGTCTGTGTATACAGGGGGGGTGGGGGGCGACAGAGCCCGAACATCCAAGATCAGTCCAGCCGCTGCCGATAAAATCCAGGCGACATCTTTATCACAGCGCTCATCAGTGGCTCAGAGTTCCGCGCTGATTCACGCACATCCATCCAGCAGAGAAGGGCCTCCTCCGGGCTCGACCATGCGACTGGCTCGGCGACGACGGATAATCCACAGGACAGGACCCCCAGCGGTAACCATTGGCTAGACGCGGGGACCAGCAGTCATTTCAGGCCGACGGAATGAGAAAATAATCCCACGCATGCACCGAAACAAAGAGTGAACGTTTCAGGCGCGAAGAAAGCCGCACATTAAAGCCGCAAATTAGGAAAATGTTGCGTTTCTGAGTTTCCCAGCACGAGCCTGTGCGCTGTTGTCAGCACTCCCCGCTGTCTCCGCAGCTGCTTTGCCTGCCTGCCTGTCTGCCCTGCAGCACAGCAGCGGCAGCGCGGCGACGTAATTGCGCAAAGCGAACGCACAGGGGCGGGGCCACGCGTCGCACACAGGTAGAAGTGCCGCAAAATCTGACGCTTTTCACCCCGTTGAAGTGTGAACCGTGACAAAGTTACCAGAAAATTCAGTGTTCTTCGAACCCTCCGACTTTTTTTTAATTAATGAATTATAAATTTGCGTAAATGACTTTTAATTTGAATCGCATTTTCTACATCCGGCATTTTTTTAAACGTGTTGCTTAAAACGTGCTGGTGATCAAGAAGTCTCAAAAACTGACTTATCAGATATGAAACACTAAGGGGTTAAGGGAGGGCGTAATAACCAAAACGTTTGATGAAGGCAATACCATGCCATAGAGCGGGGGTGTCAAACATAAGGCCCGGGGCCAGTATGGGACTCCAGCACGTTGGACTGCTTTGGAAAACGTGAAGGAGATACATTTTGAACTTCTAACTTTATTTTGAAAGGTTTCACAGCTTTTCCTAATGATAAAGACCTCCCCCATCCCTATTCACACTAACCCAGTGTAAATAAAGTGATAGTTAAATTACAGAAAAGGTCCTGTTTTTCGCAAACTAATAAAGATTTGTTTTGATTTTTTATTTTGGTGATTTCAGAGTTAAAAAAAAGATTTCTGTGATTTAAGAAAAACTTTCTATATTATGATGACAGGACAGTCTGGAGAATGAAATACCAGAGCTTTTTCTGCAATTTTGCACATTTATTTCTTACAAGTTAAGCCCAAAGAGCCATGCTGACAGATTTCTTTCATTTACTACAGCATCATTTCTTTATCACGAACAAAAACTCAGACATACTGCTAAAATTACAATTCTTTTTCTTATATTAAAATATCTACAGAAAGGGGAGTTCCACTGTTCCAGCCCATTTAGCTCAAAGTAGGCTTTATGTGGCTCACAGAGTAAAATGACTTTGAATGGTCCTCAGTTTCTTTTCAGCTAGTGTAACATTAAAAGGTCAGCTTGTTAGCCAGTTAACCAGAAGTTGGCCTCATGGTTAACAGCTTCAGTGAAGAACTGAAGTTGTTAACCATGTCTGTTAATAGATTGATGGAAATTGGTGTGAGACACGTCAACTTTTATGCATCTAAAACATGTTTCCTGTTTATTATCTTTAACCATTTTTTCTTTCATCTACTTCATATTAATGTGTTTCAAAGTACAATAAGTTTGACCGCGTTTTACCAAACACAATACTGACAGAAGTGTACTCTCTACAATTAGTTTCAGCTGTGAGGTTTCCATGGACACTGTAAAAAAATGGACAAAGCTCTGGGTTTTTTAGTGTTTATTGAACCTTCTGACAAATAAAAAAAAATCAATATTAATTTCCATAAATGAGTTTTATTATGTATCATATCTGCTACCAGCTTTTATTTTCCAGTTATTATTACATAAAGTGCAATTAATTTATGTTTATCCGAGGGGAAAAATCACACAGATGATGTAGAAATCTCAAAACATACAAAAACTCACATATCAAATGTGATACAGTGGTAATGTCGGGCAAAAACTTCCACTGTCATTGACATAAGGAGATGACACATAATAATGTTTATCATAGAATGTTGGGAATAAAGTAACATGTGCCAAATATGTTTCTGAATGTACTCATGAAGTTTTTCTTAATTGTAACTGCAGCATAAGTTGTTATAATGACGACTCCTGAACGCTTGGCCCAACAGAACAATCAGCATTTTACGTTGCGGCAAATCACACTAAAAGTCACCTCAAGGCCCTTTGTATTGTAAGGTAAAGACCCTACAATAATACAAAGAAAAGCCCAACAGTCAGATGACCCACTATGAGTGGGCAGCTGGCGACAGTGGGAAGGAAAAACTCCCTTTTACCAGGAAGAAACACCTGGCAGAACCATGCTCAGAGAGGGGGACAGGACAAAAGACACATTGTGGAAGAGAGCCGGAGATTAATAATAACCAATGTTTAAATGCAGAGTTTTATATCGCATTAAAAAAAAAAAAATATATATATATATAGGTGGTTCTGCATACCTGAAATGCATTTGATGTCTCTATTTTTCTGTATACATACTGATAAACTGCACCAGGAGTAGGTGCCCAACCCCTTAACTTGCACACAAACACAAACAAAGCATTTCCACCTTCCATGTTTGCTCTGCAGGGAGCTCTGTATCTCTCTGCTGGAGACAAAAAGCTGTGCTTTTCAGAATAAAAGTACATGTTCTCTTTCATTTCAAATCCAAGGCTGCCCATTCATCAATTCATCAATCTGTTCCTCATCTTTCATTTCTAAAAGACAGTAGGTTGGTAATCTGGGTTATACCGCCCTCAAGTGGTTAGCAAAAGAAACAAGCCACGCTGTGGCAAACAATGGACCATTGTTGGGATAATTCTGTGGGGAACACAATGAGGTAAGCTGATGAAGCGCAGTAGTAAGAAGAAGACAATGACCCCAGTGTTGTTGATCTGCATAATTCAAAAGCTGCTTTGTAGCTGATGGAGTGGAGCAGAATTTTCAAAGCTTCTTGTCTTGTTTTCAGTACTCCCCTGCCTTCTTTTGAACTTCATCATTTTTCCAGCATAGTATGAACTGATGGAGAACAAACAAAAACACATTTATATCATGTGTATTTGCTAGAACATTTCCCAATGAATACTGCGGCATGTCAACGCCCACAATGTGCTGCATAACCACAGAGCTGGAACGAATTCAGCATGTTGCTCAAGGGCACTAATGCACCGAGGATGGTGGATGTTTTTGAGAAGAATGCAGCCACGCTTTCGTTCTGCCTCACCACTTCTCCCATCTTCACGCATCTTATGTCTGGATTTTATCAGAGCATGCACCTGCTCACGATCCCATTCACTCAACAGTGAAACAGACCTCTGTGTCACTGAAGGACAGCGATGTTAAAAAACAACAACAAATCTGTCTGCACATCTATCTACAACACGATTAATTGCATGCTTCTATATTTAGCTCAGTCCATGAGGCATAAGATTGGAAGTGTAATTAAAACGTTATATGTGAAGCTTGTTAATATGCAGACGGACAACCTGAGGGAATCTGAGTGAGCGTGTGATGAGTCCTGAGTCACCGTAAGCCGTGTTAAGATTATTATCACCAAACAGTTTAGTTGCGCAAATTGTAGATCCTTACAGTAGCCCTCTCTTTAAAGTCATTAGGAGTTATTTATTCTGAACTGGGAGGAGTAATTGTCCCCTTACAGGTTTAAGGATCTCTGTATACAATCAATGCTTTTATGTGGCGGTGAAGCATTCCTGTTGACCCTTCTTCTCCTTTCAGCTGCTCCATCACCCGATCTCAGCAACCTCCTCCATCATACCTATGCATGAACCTCTGGCATCGCCTCGCTCTTTTTCTCCTGCCTCCATCTTCAGCATCCTTTGCCCAGTGTATCCACTCTCCCTCCTCTGCACCATCTCAACCTTGCATCTCTAATTGTCTGTCGTCCTTCTCCTGACTCTCACTCCTCTTCTCTCCAGGGCAAACCTCCACCTCTCCAGGCTCTCTTTCACCTGCTCTGTACTCTCGCTACAGAAGCAGGTGGCGAGCCAACACTTTAATGACATCCCCTTTTCCAGTGAGATGCTGGGAGGTTCTAATCTGAAACAGACTCCATGCATTTCTAAGGAAAAAAACTGCTGTGCCTAAAATTGGAATCACTGGCCAGAGGAGAGCAGACAGCAAGAGAATCGGCAGTGATTGCACAGAGGTTTTATCAGCCACGATGTCCTCCCATGGAAAACACCCCTAACCTCTGTTGGAAACTCCGCATAACAATCTTTCCCAAAGCTGCTGAAATGTGGACCTTGCCCTGCACATGGACTTCTTTATAGTGGGGTTGTCCTTTGTTCACATTTGGCCAACAGAGGGCACTGCTGTACCAATAATGTTTACATTATACACACTTCCCCTTGGTAACATTATTAGAAAACCTGCATACATTTTCACTGCTATGCAGACGATACTCATGTTGGTTTATCCATGCTGAATCAAGCGGTTAAACTGTGGGCATATCATAAAGAAAAATACCTGGACGACTGAATTTTCTGCTTCTAAATTCAGATAAAACTGAGGTTATTGTACTTAAACATCTCAGAACATGGATGGCATTACCCTGGCCCCCAATAACACTGTGAGGAATCATGGAGTCGTTCTCGACCAGCATTTGTCCTTCAATGCACATATTACACAAATGTGTAGGACTGCCTTGTTCCATTTGTGCACTCAGCAGTGTTGGGTAAGTTACTTTAAATTAGTAACTTAGTTACATTACTAGTTACTTCTATCAAAAGTA